TTTTTTTTTTTTTTGGTACAATAAAGGAAGCCGGAGCCTATATTGCTACTCGGCGGGGGTACACGACCCCGATATTATCGTGCTCTAGCCAGGTTCCCAGATCCCGAGGAGGGGATGTAATAAGTTCTAGCCCCAGCGGGTAGGATGCCGCGAGGCCTGCCAAGTAATCCGCTGCAAAGTTCGCCTCCCTATGGACATGTTTGACTCTAACGTTCCATTCCCTTTGGGTCAGAACACGAATTGCTTTAACCAGCGAACTATGTGCCCCATTACCTTCTTCTCGATTGCACACCATCTTTGCTACACACGCGCTATCGACCTCGGCAATCACTTGTCGGTATCCCATGTCCCATGCTAGTTGCAAGCCTTGAAAGAGCCCCCAAAGCTCTGCCCCAGTAATAGAGCACTGCCCAATATTCATCACGAATCCCTTGATCCAACAGCCCATTCCATCCCGGATCAGCCCGCCGGCACTACTTAGTCCCGTGATGTGATCAAAGGCTCCATCACTGTTCACCTTGACCCATCCCAATTCCGGAGGAGTCCACTGGATCATTCGGGTGACGTGCATTTTTGCACCAACCTTCACATAATCCGCTTCTGCCCGGGAGTAGCAATCAGCGAGTCGCATCACTTCCTTCTTTCTCGCCTCTGCCGGCAGCACCTTAGCCTCGAAAATCCTTTCATTTCGCCACTTCCAAGATTGCCAGGCCGCGATCGAAAAAATGGAACTCCAGGTCACAGAGTCTCGACCTCGTCGCATCATAAGGTTTTTCCGTAGCCAAGTTTTGACAGGCTGACTGAAGAAGGCGCCGTCATGGTCTTCAGGTAAGAGGATCTTCCAAAGCGTTTTGGTATACGCACAGTCCCGGAGAGCGTGGGTGACGGACTCGGCCTCTCCGCAAAAATCACAGTCCGGCGACACCGCAATGTGACGCCAAATACCCCTTTATTTATATAAGAAAACTTGCACTACAATCCACCAACTTCTTATGTTTTGGGCCAAATAAATTTTTAGTCCCAAACTTTTGCATTAATTAATGATTTTTTAGAATTTAGTACAATCTCTCATTTAACTGTCGAGTGAGAGGACACCAATTTTTTGTCTCTGAAAAAATCAGATAACCTGATAAAGATTTAAAGTTCACCGACTACTTCAAAGTCATCTCTTGTCACTTGTAAAAAATAATTCTTAAATATGTTATAATATTATTTGTTCTTCACAATCTTCTATTTGAATATCTTTGTTTTTATATTGGTGTTGAATGATTTCTATATATATGATTTGAACAGAAAGGAGATGTAGTTCAATGATTATATTTCAGTTTATCTTTTAAGAAATACGTGGTTGATTCCCCGCATCTCCATACATAATTTTTATTCATTTATTTATTTAATATGGATGGAGTAATTTGAAAAAAAAAAATGTATATTTTATTGAACATATTCTTCCAAGCAATTTGTGGTATCATTAATATTTATTTATATATTCATTAGTTTGCTATATACATATTACAAGTTGATATGATTAGTATGGAACTCCAATAATTGAAAAACATTATAAAGAAATATTATAACCTTTCTAGAGATTTATGTGTTTCGAATCCGTACATCTAAAATATTTTATTATTATAAAACTATATTTATTTTTATGTACATGAATTTTTTTATCGACTTCTAATTTATTTTGTCAATAAAAATCCAAAAAAAATAATTAATTGATAAAGACTTAAAGTTCACCGACAAATTCTAAGTCATCTCTCGTCAGTTGCAAAAATAAAATTCTTATATTTGTATGAAAAGTTTAAGTTTTTCACATTTTTCAAAAGCCATCTTTTGTCACCAGCAAAAAAGAAAATTATATTTGTACTAAAAATATTTGTTCTTCACATTTTTCTCTTTGGATATGTGTTTGTATAATTGGATCATATAAATAATAGTTTTCAACAAAAATGAGATGCAATTCAATGGTTATATTTTGGATTATTCTAAAAAAATACGGGGTTCAATAACCCGCATCTCAAAAAGTAATATTTTATCTATTTATTTATTTGTTTTTAATTTGAAGGAAGTCATTTGGAAAGTAATAATATCATATTTTATTGAACACAATCTATGATATCAGAAATGTCTATATATCATATTGATTAGTTCAACATATACATATTACAAGGTGATATGATCAGTAGATAATTGAAAAAATATTGTAATCCCTCTCAAGATATATGTGTTTCGTATCCGTACATCTCAAAATATCCTTTTATTTTAAAACTATGTTTATTTTATGTACATGCATTTTTTATCTGCTTATAAGTCATTTTCTCTGTACAGATTCAAAGAAAAGTATTGATGAAAAATTTAAGTTCACCGACAATTTCGAAGCCATCACTTGTCACTTGCAAAAAGAAAATTCTTATATTTATATTAAAAGTTTTTAACATTTTTTTGTTTGGATATGTGTGATTTTATATTGTGCTGAATAATTTATATATACATATAAATGATAATTTGAACTAAAGAGACGTAGCTTAATAGTTATATTTCAGATTAATTTCCAACAAATACGGGGTTAGATTCCCCGCATCACCATACAAAATTTTTTATCCATATTTATTTATTTATTTTTTAATTTGAAGGGAGTCATTTGGGAAAAAAAAATCGTATTTTATTGAACATATTCTTCCAAGTAATCTATGATATCACTAATATTTATGTAATTGTTGATTAGTTTGATATCTACATATTACAAGGTAATATAGTTAGTAAGGAGCTTCTAGATAATTTAAAAATATTATAACCTCTTTAGAGATATATGTGTTTCGAATCAATGCATCAAAAAC